GGGGGGGGGGGGGGTATTTTAACTAAACCATGAAGTGATGAAATGTGACAGACCTAATAAAGAAGTTATAGCAGTTAGTTCGCTCACTGCACTACATTTAGATCTTTTGTCTTTTTGTAGTTCGGTTGCGACACACTTAAATCATTCTGAGAAATTCTTCCCTCAGATGTTAAAAGAGTCACAGAAATTTAAAATAGCAGCAGGAAACAGCAACGACACAACACTGTGTGCGGATGAGTCGTGCGTCTGTGATACTCGACGTTGAGTCATTCGCAAAAGTTCCCTATAAAGGCGTCACAACAGACGTAAAGCAACAAATTCAAGAAGCTGGAGCCGAGTCGTGCTTTTAAATCCTGTGTGTAAAGTTCATTTTCTGTCGGTCGAGTCATTTAAAAGCAGTTTTTCTTCCCTTTAGAGGAAGAAAGTGAAACCGACAGACGAGGAAGTATTGTCTCCTGCTACACGTGTTCAGTATAGCATGTATTTATTACAGTTTATTTACATGTTTGAGTAAAAATCAAATCACTACAATGTAAAAATATTACATTAAAAAGGGAAAAGTCTGTCAGAATACCAATATAAAGCTGGTTTACTGTCACTAATGTATTATTACAGCATTGTACACTTATATAAATATACTGCAATGGAGCTAATTCTGCACATTTTATATTCTGTCGAGGTTTCATTTACTTTACAATACATAATATATCATAAGATAACCAACGAGTTCATATTTTTTAATTTAAAAAAGGTGGTGGTTTTAAAGAAAGTAGGTCCCCAGAGATAACACTGAATAAAGAGATATATTTGTGCACATACACCATCACATCATCTGTATATAAGACGCTGCATATAGAGCACATACACTCTCTGTTTAAACCAATAACAGGTCAACACAATGCTACATGACAACCAGCACTCACTGTTAACGTTTAATCATGTGTATGGATGAACCCTGTTGTGTTGTCAGTGGGGCTGAATGACGAGAGAGCTTTTTAAGGATTATTATAACCGGATATAGAACAATACTCCCATGAGCTCACACCCCGCTTCAGAGCCAACCTACAGCCCACTGTGGGGTTTCTGACAGATGGAAGCAGTTGGGTGGATTTAAATAAAACTAGTGAACAGTTGCTGTTTCTTTGTTGGATGTTAAGCCGAATAGAAAAGCACCTTTTGAGTAATTGGATTACAAAACTCCCGTTACATTGAGACAGTATTCGCCCTGTTGCAGCAGATTATATTACACCGGTGCGTTTTCTGAATGCAGTCTGGCGCACACTGACGTTAGCTTCACGGAACACACAGCGCGTCGTGAATAAGAGTGAATAATGTTTACAGTATATAACTGATGCTAATGCTAACACGGCTCTCACCTCTTCAGTGTGTGAGGTGAGTTAGCTCGCTGTTAGCCACCCTGCTAGCCGCGGTCCTCCGGTATATTCCCCGGGAGGATGCTGACAGACAGCCGCTGCCAGGTGGCCTCGGCCCGGGCTCAGGCCTCGGGCTGCTGCCGAGGCTCGCACCAACAGATATTAAGCCATAAAACTACAGCAGAGCCTCCTCCCGCCGCGGTCCGAGCAGCAGCACCGGAGGTAAACAGTAACACGTTGTGTTTGTGCGCGCTGCACCAGCCCGGTGCCGTGTGCACAAAGACGGTGAAACCCGGAAACCGCGCCGCCGCTGCCGCCGCCGTGCGGAGCGGACGAGCTGCTGTTCGAGTCCGGGCCGCAGATAACAACCGTAATGAGCTCCTAGAGGTGTGGAAACGACTTACAGTGAACGTAAACGCGGTGTTTTGTCCTCTCCGGTTGGTGTGTGTGGACGCTGCCCGGTGCCGCGCGCTGCTTTCCGCTCCGGTAACGAAGGCTTAATGGATGAGGGTTAGTGCCGCGTTCAGGGTCTGCGGGGAATCTGAGAGACACGACACAGAGACGACCATCAGCCGATAGGGGGCGCTACACATATTAATATTAATTATCTGCTGTCTACTTTAAGAGCTGTTTGTTTTATTATAACGCTCAGATTTTGTGCACATTCTTGTACATTTCATTTATTGAATATATTCAGCCATATTGTACCTATTGTCTCTTTTTATTGTCTCTATTTTTATCTTTATTTATATTTCTCTGTTTACTTTAATAAACAATCTTACCTATTTGTCAATAAACCTGATCCTGATTTAGTTTCCTGAACCAAAATAAATTATTCCCAAACAAACCTTTTCCTTATTGGGGCCCTTTTCTATATTTTATCTATATTTTATAGTATATTCAATGTATAACAATAAATAATAACAGTAAATAACAGCTGATAAACTGAACAATAAACCTAAACAGTAAAAACACAACAACTGAGATTTGGTTGAATGTTTGAGCAGATTATTGGCTGTAATTATTGATCAGAGATCCTCATATTTATATGTTTATATATATTTCTTACCCCGTTGGTAGAGGAGAGGAGGAAGTTGACTGATGTTTGCTGTTATTGGAGCAAACAGTGGAGGGACTTCATAGCTTCACTGTTTATTCCAGCCGGGGAGAGAAACAACAACTAAACTCAGATGAAGTATTTTCCGAGCAGCACTTGAAGGCAGCACCTTGAAGCAGATGCTAAATGAGGATGTTAACATGTGACATGTGCTCTGTTAACATGTGACAGCACTGGAGGTCTGCAGGTCTGTGACTAAAGTAATGTTTACAGGGCTTGTAATGACTCTAAAGTGATTCATGAACTTTAATTAATAACGTTTACTGTGAATTAATAAAACCATGGATCTACGGAAGCTGAGAACGGCCATGGATTTTTCTTTTTAGAAAAGCTGAAGCAGCCGGATAGAGAGGAGTTTGTCAGCCTCTCATCTGATAACCAGTAGCACCTAAACAAACCCAGTCAAGTAAAAGGCAGTTTTTCCTTGCCCCTGTCTCCAAGGTCTTGCTCATGGTTGGTACTGTTGGGTCTCTAGTAACAATGTTATAAGGAGTTCGGGTCTAGACCTGCTCTATTTTTGAAAAGTGTCCTGAGATAACTTCTGTTTATGATGCGCTTATACAAAAACATTGAATTTAATTAAACAACACAATGTAAAGCTGTTTGTCGCAGCTCCTGTGGTTGAACAACAAGACGGTACACCCATTATTATTTTGTTATCACGAGATAACGATCTTTGTTATGTCGAGATAACGAGATAATAAGTTGTTATCTCGAGATAACAGTGCATAAAAAAAAGAAGAATCCATGGCCGTTCTCGGCTTCCGTATGAATCGTCTCATGAGGACTGACATAAACAAAGCAGTGGTGCAAAGTTACATAAGTAAGTAAGTTCTCCGAGTCGCTCTCTCTCACTCGCTAACGTCAGCTTATAAAGGCAACACAGAGTCCAAAGTCAAAGTTAACATTACTGCAGAGCTTGTGGAACATATTGTCTGTGCTTTTAGCTGGTTAGCTGTGTCGTGGCTGTCGGTCTGGTGTTGGTTGCTTCGTGGTGTTGGCTGATGGGTGATTTGTAAACAGCGAGCTAGTTAGTAGCATGGAGCTAACGGTCCAAATAAAATATAGGAACATTGCAGATAGTAACGTT